TTCCCCTTTTCCTAGGGACCACCCTGTTACAGACGCACACAAAAAGTTTTGATAATGGGTTTATTTACAAGGAGAAAGATAAAGGAACAACCCAGGGAAAGAGAGAGAGAAATAGGAGTTAACTAGAATACCCTACTGTAGGAGACTCTTTCTCCCCGATCACGGATTATTGGGGGGCAGAACAGGCAGGGTTTCAAAGTGGGAACGGCGTCGGCGAGCGGAGATTCCTAGAAAAGGGGGGAAAGGGAAAAAAAGGGGAGCGGGCATGAGGAAGACACAGGAGTGGGAGTTGGGTGCAAGTCTTCCTGCTCTGCCTCCAGCAGAGGTTTATTTTATACATTTCAAGCAGGTAGAGGGATGGCATTAGCATATGAAATGGGCTGAGATCACAATCACCTTTTTCTAAGAATAGTCTGGGGTCATTTTGACCTTTAGTGGAGATTATAACATTTTAAAAATCTATCTATCAAGGTTAAAACAGGTACATAGATACACAAAGTTTAAGACTAATATTACTATATTTACCACAGTGAAGATTAACCAAAATAAAGTCCCTGAAATGTTATCTTAAACCTTATCTATTACTTAACAGCTTTCATACTCATAGAGGCATCCTAGGGGGTAAAGTAAAGTGAGGGCAGGAAGAGGAAATTCCTTGTAAATCAAATTACAGTAAAGTTTTTTGAAAAACTTGTTAGAAAGTTTAAGTGAGTTTCCTTGAAGTCTAGATGGTAGAAAACCTGATTAGCTCTGAATAGGCCACTTGGGTAAATTTCCATATCTAAAGCCTAGATAGTAGAAAGCTTGAGTGGTTATTTAGAAACTGAAGAGAAGGCTGTGTGAGATAGAGTGATAAGATTTGGGTTTCCTCAGTCGGCAGTGAGAGAGACTCTGTAGTAACAGCCATTTGCTTTTATTAATCAGCCAGTTGTTTAAAGACTTGACTTCAAGAGGAATTTCTCACCCTGATGCAGTACTTGCTTGTCAGGGCCAGGTAGCGCCTTATGAGGCTGAGGCAATCCAAAATATTTTGATATTATGATTATACAAAAAAGGGAGGTCATAACATAAGTTAGCGTGGAAAGTATGATTTTTCAGAGTATTTCCCCTCCCTCTGTACCGGGTCTGTTGACAGAGGTTGCATAGCTTGTGTCACCCTACCAGTTCTGCTGACTTGGACCCCAATCGCACGCTGAAAACCGATCGAGAGCCAAAAGACCAGCCATGAACCTCTAGGCCCAGAGCTCTCCAGAGCCCACATGTCCGGTTTTATCCCAACCTGGCTGCTCAGCTCCGCCCTCACATCCCAGCGTGCTTCTCCTTGGTACTGATGGGATTTGTAGTTCCAGTATCTGGAGTAGGGGCGGAGTCCATGAAACCTGTACCTGTTACAATTCTGCCTCACAGAATTGAGGGTTAACATCAGTGTCCGGGCTATTCTTGTGGAGTCGGACAGTCCTTACTGCAGGGTGCAAGATTTAGCAAATAAAAATAGAAGCTGCCCATTTAATGGTGAATGTCAGAAGCAATGAATAATGTTTTTGCATAAGGATATGCCAAGTACTCCATGAGACATACTTTTCCCTAAGCTCCAGATATGCAGAACTTTAGATACCAAATAGATATTTTGTGTATGTCCCGTGCAATTTGGGGACATGCTCACACTAAGAAAAAAAAAAATCATTGATTATCCAAAATTCTAATTCAACAGGGTGTTCTTATTCGAAATGGCCTTTCTAATCCCCAGAGTCCTCAAAAGGTCAGTCACTTTTGTGGTTTTTACCACATCTGCAATACTACCAGGATCATTTCCTTAATATTTTTCTTTAAATTAACTCACTTTTAAAAAGCCTCAATAAAGAAAAGAAAAGATACTTTCTATGCTACCACAACTTGGAAACCACAATCCTTACTGCAAATGTAACAGGTTTCATGGACTCTGCCCCCACTCCAGATGCTGGAACTCCAAATCCCATCAGTACCAAGGAGAAGCACCCAGGGACGTGAGGGCGGAGCTTTTAGCCAGGTTGGGATAAAACCGGACATGTGGGCTTTGGGGGGAGACCTGGTGGTTCGCAGCTGATGGTTTTGGCGCTCAATCGGTTTTCAGCTGCCGGTGGAGTCCAAGTCAGCAGAACGGGTAGGACATTCTAGTTAACCTGTGTTTCTCTCCCTCTTTTCCTGGGTTATTCCTTTACCTTTCTCCTTATAAATAAATCCATTATTTAACCTTCTTGAGTGTGTCCATAATACGACTGAATTGTAAGCGCACGGGTAAAGACTCACAGACAGGCAACCCAATTCACATTGGGGTGCCCTGTAACACAAATAGGTGGCCACATGAAGCCAAAGCTGTGTTGGGACATCCTGACTGGATGCTGCTGCCTGCAGAAAGGTCTGTGATTGAGACCCATGATCTCTTGATCAAAGGAGATATTAGCAGGCTTTGAGAGGCATTAAAAATACCTGCCACCAAACGAAGGCTTTCTCCTTGGTGTAATCAGAAAGACTGGGGTGGGTGAAAAGGAAGAAAGTTTTCTCCCTCAGTCTTGCTTTTGGAAGTAATGCATTAGCAAGTTATTTGAAAACAGGAAGTTTGTTTCTTCTTCCTACACTAGTGGTTTTTAGAGAAGTCATTTTGAACTGTAGGGGATGCCCATAAGCCCCACCCAGATGACCTCTGACCCTTTCACCAGTTCTGCATACCCTCCCTAAACTTTGCTACTAGTAGCTCAAGGCTACCATATCCATAGCACCAGGCAATAGCCACGGTCACCCAGCCCCTGCACCCTTCTATGTAGCTTAAAGTGCCTGGAGGATTTCTAGCCATCAATCCTGTGTCTCCTACCTTTCACAGACACTGAGCAAGTCATGGGGTGCTAAGTCCAGGTCTTTTTCTTCATGCAGAACAACCCCTGGGAGGCCCCTGTGGAATTGACTGTGGCTGGGTTATCTCCCTAATTCACACCCAGCTTGATTTCTTCCCTCTCTCCTGCTTCCCCCCTCCCTCACTGGTTTCTCCTGGGAGAAACCTTCTTTTTTTTTAGATTTATTTATTTATGTGTACAGAACTGGGGCACAGGCCAGAGGAGTGGTGGGTAAGAAGATTCATAAGAGACAGAGAGGGGAGCAGAACAGGCAGATTGACAAAGTACACTGCTAAGGGGAGCAGCGGGTGGGCCAGGAGAGGTCTGCCCCGCCATGTGGGTCAGCTCCCTGGTGGGGGATTGAACTTTTGCTGCAGTGGCTTCAAAGAGCCTCCTAATGTGTTGCTTTAACCCATTGCACCACAAGGGAGAGCCCGAAACCTTCTCTTTTATTTATTTATTTATTTGTTTGTTTGTTTGTTTGTTTGTTTTTTAAGATTTATTTATTTGTACATACAGAACTGTGGTACAGGCCAGAGATGCGGAGGGTGAGAGGATTCACCAGAGACAGAGTGGGGAGCAGAACAGGCAGATCGACGAAGTATACTGCTGAGGGGAGCAGCGGGCGGGTCAGGAGAGGTCTGCCACGCCATGTGGTCACCTCCGGGGCAGGTGGGAATCGAACTCATGTGGAAGTGGCTTTAGCTTCTCAGTGCTGTGCTTTAACCCGCTGTGCCACCAGGGAGGGCCCCGAAACCTTCTTAATAGATTGCTGTACCCAGATCTTTTGCTCATGATCTGGGAGAAGCCCCTAGGATAACAACCACAAGCTGGGGCTTCATTTCTCCAAAGCATTTGGTAGTTACTAAATTAGCAGGAGCCCTGGTTCTCATTCTGTTTCCCCCAGGTGGATCCCAGGCATGGGACCACCATCCCACTATGCTCTGAGCATGTCAGCCCGCCCAGCGCTTTCCAGGCAGGGTTCCCTGGAGGTACCTTCACCCTTCTCTGCCTTAGTGATTTCTAGAGCCCATGTTCAAACGGGGCTGCCCGGCCTGCTTGCCAGTGGACACTGGGTGGCATCTTAGCTCTGCTCTGTCCTCACAGAACAGAATGGTTAAATCTCACCTTCATGTCCCGGTTTTCTGGCCTTTCCATGGATAGTGACCCATGAATGGTCAGACATAATCCTCCTAATGACTGGCAGACCCCCCCAAGAAAGTCTGCAAATATAACTAATGCTCCCTGCTTTTGGTCATGTCAGGCTGCACCATTCAGAAGCTCCTGAACTTCACAGAAACATCAGCAGCACGAACTTCCTGGTGGCTGACGGCTACCACGTGAAGGTGAGCATGGCCTTCCTGGGGACTCTGACTTCAGCCTGTGTGGTTGTGCGGTGCCAGGAGAGGAATGCCTATTTCCAGAAACCTGTTCCTGCTCATTTTGCTGCGTTCACCTTAAAGCTGGGCTCAACTCTTCCCATGCCTAGAAGTGAGGGAGCTCTCGTGGCCCACCACAGGACACTCAGTCCTGCCTTTTGTTCTGAAGATCACCATCCCTCATACTGCCAGCTGAGCAGGGATGGGATGAGCCTCTTCCCTTTAGATGCCTGGGCATCACTTCTGCCAGTTCTTTTGTTACAGGGCAGGAAGAGGGGCACCACTGAACCCCCAAACCTGCCTGCTTTAAATGGGTTCTGCCATCTGTCACCTCAAGACAAAACATATAAGACTTTAATGAAAAGGAACTTTAATACAGTGAGTATACAATACAGAAGACAAAGAATACAGTTTCTAAATCAAACACCTGAAGTAACCCATCCCCTCATGGGCAAAATTCAACCCAAAAGGGATTGGCCCAAAGCACGGCCTAAAATCCTGCCATAAGACTTAAAGCACCTTCTGGCCGGGATCCATGGAAAAGGGTCAGAAATGGCCAGACAAATCTGGGAAGAAAAGAGCAAAATCAAAATCAATATAAACGCTGCCATAGTCACCTCCCCATGGGTCTTTCCCCCACATCTTTAAATCAGTCTAGGACGAGGAAGCAAGCACAGTTTCTTCACATATCTCTCTGCTCCGTGTGGCTTCCTCAGGTCTCCTTCGGGCCCTCCATCCTACTTCCTTCCTCCTCAGATTCCTTCTCTTTTTCTCTGCTCTGCTCCACCCTCTTCTGGGTGTGGCAGGGAACCTGGAACTTCCCCTTTTTCTAGGGGCCACCCGGTTACACTTTCAGGGTCTTGTTAAGCCCCAGGAGGCATTTTGAGGACTGGCATAGACCACGGCTTGCATTCAGAGCCATTTAGAAGAGGATCCTCCAAGAAGCACAGCTTGCCAGGAGGGCAGCTTCAAGTCCTTCTCGCCATCAGGAGTCCCCAAAGCTATCCCCACATTCACCCTGGATAATTCTTTTTGCCCTGGCCCCAGGTGCTGGAGAAAGAGGTTTCGCTCAGCCAAGCAGGGGACATCCAGGCTCAGACACCTCAAGAGCCACAGCAGTCAATGTGCTAATGACGCTGCAGGCATCCCTCAAGTCCCCACAAGGGGGCGCAGAGCACACAACAGCGGCCTCAAACTACTTCATCACTATGGTCTCTCAGTAGTCCCGGGACAAGGCTGCCCAGCCCAACCTCCCACTGTCCATAGGCTATTTACCAAACAGCTCTCACATCTTTGGTGTTTTTTTTTTTTTTTTAAACATTTATTTATTTATCCATACAGAGCTGGGGTACAGGCCAGAGGTGCAGGGGTGGTGAGAGGATTCACCGGAGACAGAGTGGGGAGCAGAACAGGCAGATCATCGAAGTACACTGCTGAGGGGAGCAGC